CTAACAAAGATCCTCCCACTTACTAACAAAGATCCCCCACTTACTAACAGATCCTCCCACTTACTAACAAGATCCTCCCACTTACTAACAAGATCCTCCCACTTACTAACAAAGATCATCCCACTTACTAACAAGATCCTCCCACTTACTAACAAGATCCTCCCACTTACTAACAAGATCCTCCCACTTACTAACAAAGATCATCCCACTTACTAACAAGATCCTCCCACTTACTAACAAGATCCTCCCACTTACTAACAAAGATCCTCCCACTTACTAACAAAGATCCTCCCACTTACTAACAAAGATCCTCCCACTTACTAACAAAGATCCTCCCACTTACTAACAAGATCCTCCCACTTACTAACAAAGATCCTCCCACTTACTAACAAGATCCTCCCACTTACTAACAAAGATCCTCCCACTTACTAACAAAGATCCTCCCACTTACTAACAAAGATCCTCCCACTTACTAACAAGATCCTCCCACTTACTAACAAGATCCTCCCACTTACTAACAAGATCCTCCCACTTACTAACAAGATCCTCCCACTTACTAACAAGATCCTCCCACTTACTAACAAAGATCCTCCCACTTACTAACAAGATCCTCCCACTTACTAACAAGATCCTCCCACTTACTAACAAAGATCCTCCCACTTACTAACAAAGATCCTCCCACTTACTAACAAAGATCCTCCCACTTACTAACAAGATCCTCCCACTTACTAACAAGATCCTCCCACTTACTAACAAAGATCCTCCCACTTACTAACAAAGATCCTCCCACTTACTAACAAGATCCTCCCACTTACTAACAAGATCCTCCCACTTACTAACAAAGATCCTCCCACTTACTAACAAGATCCTCCCACTTACTAACAAGATCCTCCCACTTACTAACAAAGATCCTCCCACTTACTAACAAAGATCCTCCCACTTACTAACAAAGATCCTCCCACTTACTAACAAGATCCTCCCACTTACTAACAAGATCCTCCCACTTACTAACAAAGATCCTCCCACTTACTAACAAAGATCCTCCCACTTACTAACAAAGATCCTCCCACTTACTAACAAGATCCTCCCACTTACTAACAAGATCCTCCCACTTAATAACAAAGATCCTCCCACTTACTAACAAAGATCCTCCCACTTACTAACAAGATCCTCCCACTTACTAACAAAGATCCTCCCACTTACTAACAAAGATCCTCCCACTTACTAACAAGATCCTCCCACTTACTAACAAAGATCCTCCCACTTACTAACAAAGATCCTCCCACTTACTAACAAAGATCCTCCCACTTACTAACAAGATCCTCCCACTTACTAACAAAGATCCTCCCACTTACTAACAAAGATCCTCCCACTTACTAACAAGATCCTCCCACTTACTAACAAAGATCCTCCCACTTACTAACAAAGATCCTCCCACTTACTAACAAAGATCCTCCCACTTACTAACAAGATCCTCCCACTTACTAACAAAGATCCTCCCACTTACTAACAAAGATCCTCCCACTTACTAACAAAGATCCTCCCACTTACTAACAAAGATCCTCCCACTTACTAACAAGATCCTCCCACTTACTAACAAAGATCCTCCCACTTACTAAAAAAGATCCTCCCACTTACTAAGAAAGATCCTCCCACTTACTAAAAAAGATCCTCCCACTTACTAAGAAAGATCCTCCCACTTACTTACTAAGAAAGATCCTCCCACTTACTAAGAAAGATCCTCCCACTTACTTACTAAGAAAGATCCTCCCACTTACTAAGAAAGATCCTCCCACTTATTTAAGAAAGATCCTCCCACTTGTTTAACAAAGATCCTCCCACTTGTTTAACAAAGATCCTCCCACTTGTTTAACAAAGATCCTCCCACTTGTTTAACAAAGATCCTCCCACTTGTTTAACAAAGATCCTCCCACTTGTTTAACAAAGATCCTCCCACTTGTTTAACAAAGATCCTCCCACTTGTTTAACAAAGATCCTCCCACTTGTTTAACAAAGATCCTCCCACTTGTTTAACAAAGATCCTCCCACTTACTAAGAAAGATCCTCCCACTTACTAAGAAAGATCCTCCCACTTACTAACAAAGATCCTCCCACTTACTAACAAAGATCCTCCCACTTACTAACAAAGATCCTCCCACTTACTAACAAAGATCCTCCCACTTACTAACAAAGATCCTCCCACTTACTAACAAGATCCTCCCACTTACTAACAAAGATCCTCCCACTTACTAACAAATATCCTCCCACTTACTAACAAAGATCCTCCCACTTACTAACAAAGATCCTCCCACTTACTAACAAAGATCCTCCCACTTACTAACAAGATCCTCCCACTTACTAACAAAGATCCTCCCACTTACTAACAAAGATCCTCCCACTTACTAACAAGATCCTCCCACTTACTAACAAGATCCTCCCACTTACTAACAAAGATCCTCCCACTTACTAACAAAGATCCTCCCACTTACTAACAAAGATCCTCCCACTTACTAACAAAGATCCTCCCACTTACTAACAAGATCCTCCCACTTACTAACAAAGATCCTCCCACTTACTAACAAGATCCTCCCACTTACTAACAAAGATCCTCCCACTTACTAACAAAGATCCTCCCACTTACTAACAAAGATCCTCCCACTTACTAACAAGATCCTCCCACTTACTAACAAGATCCTCCCACTTACTAACAAGATCCTCCCACTTACTAACAAGATCCTCCCACTTACTAACAAGATCCTCCCACTTACTAACAAGATCCTCCCACTTACTAACAAGATCCTCCCACTTACTAACAAAGATCCTCCCACTTACTAACAAAGATCCTCCCACTTACTAACAAGATCCTCCACTTACTAACAAGATCCTCCCACTTACTAACAAAGATCCTCCCACTTACTAACAAAGATCCTCCCACTTACTAACAAAGATCCTCCCACTTACTAACAAAGATCCTCCCACTTACTAACAAAGATCCTCCCACTTACTAACAAGATCCTCCCACTTACTAACAAGATCCTCCACTTACTAACAAAGATCCTCCCACTTACTAACAAAGATCCTCCCACTTACTAACAAAGATCCTCCCACTTACTAACAAGATCCTCCCACTTACTAACAAGATCCTCCCACTTAATAACAAAGATCCTCCCACTTACTAACAAAGATCCTCCCACTTACTAACAAGATCCTCCCACTTACTAACAAAGATCCTCCCACTTACTAACAAAGATCCTCCCACTTACTAACAAGATCCTCCCACTTACTAACAAAGATCCTCCCACTTACTAACAAAGATCCTCCCACTTACTAACAAAGATCCTCCCACTTACTAACAAGATCCTCCCACTTACTAACAAAGATCCTCCCACTTACTAACAAAGATCCTCCCACTTACTAACAAGATCCTCCCACTTACTAACAAAGATCCTCCCACTTACTAACAAAGATCCTCCCACTTACTAACAAAGATCCTCCCACTTACTAACAAGATCCTCCCACTTACTAACAAAGATCCTCCCACTTACTAACAAAGATCCTCCCACTTACTAACAAAGATCCTCCCACTTACTAACAAAGATCCTCCCACTTACTAACAAGATCCTCCCACTTACTAACAAAGATCCTCCCACTTACTAACAAGATCCCCCCACTTACTAACAGATCCTCCCACTTACTAACAAAGATCCTCCCACTTACTAACAAAGATCCTCCCACTTACTAACAAAGATCCTCCCACTTACTAACAAAGATCCTCCCACTTACTAACAAGATCCTCCCACTTACTAACAAGATCCTCCCACTTACTAACAAAGATCCTCCCACTTACTAACAAGATCCTCCCACTTACTAACAAAGATCCTCCCACTTACTAACAAGATCCTCCCACTTACTAACAAAGATCCTCCCACTTACTAACAAAGATCCTCCCACTTACTAACAAAGATCCTCCCACTTACTAACAAAGATCCTCCCACTTACTAACAAGATCCTCCCACTTAATAACAAAGATCCTCCCACTTACTAACAAGATCCCCCCACTTACTAACAGATCCTCCCACTTACTAACAAAGATCCTCCCACTTACTAACAAAGATCCTCCCACTTACTAACAAAGATCCTCCCACTTACTAACAAAGATCCTCCCACTTACTAACAAGATCCTCCCACTTACTAACAAAGATCCTCCCACTTACTAACAAAGATCCTCCCACTTACTAACAAGATCCTCCCACTTACTAACAAAGATCCTCCCACTTACTAACAAGATCCTCCCACTTACTAACAAGATCCTCCCACTTACTAACAAAGATCCTCCCACTTAATAACAAAGATCCTCCCACTTACTAACAAGATCCTCCCACTTACTAACAAAGATCCTCCCACTTACTAACAAGATCCTCCCACTTACTAACAAGATCCTCCCACTTAATAACAAAGATCCTCCCACTTACTAACAAGATCCTCCCACTTAATAACAAAGATCCTCCCACTTACTAACAAGATCCTCCCACTTAATAACAAAGATCCTCCCACTTACTAACAAGATCCTCCCACTTACTAACAAGATCCTCCCACTTAATAACAAGATCCTCCCACTTACTAACAAGATCCTCCCACTTAATAACAAAGATCCTCCCACTTACTAACAAGATCCTCCCACTTACTAACAAGATCCTCCCACTTAATAACAAGATCCTCCCACTTACTAACAAGATCCTCCCACTTACTAACAAGATCCTCCCACTTAATAACAAAGATCCTCCCACTTACTAACAAGATCCTCCCACTTAATAACAAAGATCCTCCCACTTACTAACAAGATCCTCCCACTTAATAACAAAGATCCTCCCACTTACTAACAAGATCCTCCCACTTAATAACAAGATCCTCCCACTTACTAACAAGATCCTCCCACTTACTAACAAGATCCTCCCACTTACTAACAAGATCCTCCCACTTAATAACAAAGATCCTCCCACCTGTTGATCCTTAACGACCAGTTACCAGGTCTTACTTTCTCTTCCGCTTCATTATTATTAACTCCATCCATGCACTCTTTATGATGGATAATAAGTTAATAATTATGTAAGAGTTGTATCAAAGATAGAAAATTTAATTCTTTTGACCATCTTAAATATTTGGATCAAAATATTGAGCTTTATTTAGGAGTGCTCTTATTCCAGTTTATTTCGTTTCTATTTGAAAAGGTCAGTGTATTATAATTATTTATACTGATAATGTGAAGGTATTTGTTTAAGATATAAATAAGATATATGAAATTTAATAAAGAAATTACTGTTTGTGTGATAAAATATGATCCGGATTTTTTTTCAGATTGTTCACGAACGATGTCTTACAAAGTGCCAGTTGTAGTCATAAAAGTAATTTATATTGATAATATGAAGGTATTTGTTTAAAATATAAGAAGACTGAAGATATGTGGAATTTAATATAGAACAAGGTTTTATAACAAAATAACATAATTTGGATTCATCTTCAGATTGTTCACGAACAATGTCTGGCAAAGTACCAATTACAGTGATAACAATATAATATTTTACAGCACTGTGTGCTTCTAATATCCATAATCTAAAAGAAATTAATTGTTATTTAATGAATTATTAATTAATGCAAAATTACGTACAATAAAAGATGGTTAAAATACATATTGTAATAATAGGTAAGATTGGTGAGGTTGGTGTTCCTGGGCGGCCACTTTCGTCTGCTGAGACTTGTAAACAAGACAAGACCGTCACCGTCAACACTAACCTCACTTATACTCATATTATCCCCTACCTACAGTATACCACACTATATCTAATCCCTACTTGCAGCTACGTTATGGCCAGAGTGTTCTCCCGTCTGTACCAGAATGTAAGGCCGCTATCTCGCTGCTTAGGAAACAAGGTATTGTGTGTTGAGGGATTTCGTGGGAGGCGAGAAGTGTCTGGGTCAGTCTTCAGTTATCCAGGTCAAGTGTGTTGCTTCTCCAACACTTCTACACGATACAACGCCTTTCCTCGTCCTAAACTTTCACCACAAGAGGTAATACAACTGTGTGTTGCAGTGTCTTTAATTTTAGGGCAACCGGGGTTAATGAGTTCTTGAAAATTATATTATAAACCGACAGGTGCAGCAGTTGGGGGTCTTTATTGTTGAAATGTTTCTTCTACACAGTAGACTTCTTCAGTCAAATATAGAGTCAGTAGGACTAGCAGCTCCATGGAGGTGAACTCTTCTTCAGGTTAAGGGACTGACCACCTCAAATACTATTTTCTCCAAGGTTGATAGACTGATTATATCATCATTGCTTTGCTGCTACTCCAGCTGACTCAGTGTTTGACTGAAGAAGCCTGTTGTGTCAGTGAAACGTTTTAACAGTAAAGATAGTGTGTGATAAATGGTTTTAAAAACCGACAAGTTGAAGATTGAGATACTTATGCAATATGTGGGAATCTTTATTGAGGAAACGTTTCGCCACACAGTGGCTTCATCAGTCCAGTATAAAGCAGAAAGGTGTAAGGAGAGGAGTTTGAGGTAATCAGTCCCTCAGCCTGGAGTCGATGTGTTCAGTCCATCATTCTTGTAGAATGTACAGCAAAGGGCTGTAGAAGTGCCGTATATACTGTAGTCAGGTGAGGCGAGGCAGGAGGAGGCAGGATCATAGTGGAACCATCTACTAGTCTAAGTAGGTCTGGAGTTTACCTGGAGAGAGTTCCGGGGGTCAACGCCCCTGCGGGATCAGAGCCTGATCAACTAGGCTGTTACTGCTGGCTGCACGCAATCCAACATACGAGCCACAGCCCGGCTGGTCAGGTACCAACTTTAGGTGCTTGTCCAGTGCCTGCTTGAAGACTGCCAGGGGTCTGTTAGTAATCCCCCTTATGTATGCTGGGAGGCAGTTGAACAGTCTTTTTCCCCTGACACTTATTGCATTGTCTCTTAACGTGCTAGTGACACCCCTGCTTTTCATTGGGGGGATGTTGCATCGTCTGCCGAGTCTTTTGCTTTCGTAGTGAGTGATTTTCGTGTGCAAGTTCGGTACTAGTCCCTCTAGGATTTTCCAGGTGTATATAATCGTGTATCTCTCCTGCCTGCATTCCAGGGAGTACAGGTTCAGGAACTTCAAGCGCTTCCAGTAATTGAGGTGTTTTATCTCTGTTATGCACGCCGTGGAGGTTATCTGTACATTTTCTAGGTCAGCAATTTCACCTGCCTTGAAAGGCGTGGTTAGTGTGCAGCAATATTCCAGCCTAAATAGAACAAGCAACCTGAAGTGTGCCATCATGGCCTTGGCATCCCTAGTTTTGAAGGTTCTTGTTATCCATTCTGTCATTTTTCTAGCAGATGCGATTGATACAATGTTATGGTCCTTGAAGGTGAGATCCTCCGACATGATCACTCCCAGACCTTCGTCCAAAGGTTGCACGAGTTTTGAAGAATTCTTTGTATCAAGATCCCATAATGCTGCAGTGCCTGACAGATGTGATAAATGGTTTAAAAAAACGAAAAGTTGAAGATTGAGACAGTTATGCACCATATGGGAATCTTTATTGAGGAAATGTTTTGCCACACAGTGGTGAAAGATAGTAGGTGACTTGGACCTGCCTAGCATGGGCCAGTAGGCCTACTGCAGTGCTCTTTCCTTCTTATGTTCTTACACCCAGCTGTTGCACTTGTCTTACTCATCAATAACTTACCTCTGTATCACCCAACCCAGGAATGGAATCTTGGTATTTTTTATTACATGGAAGATATATAACACATGTACCAACAAGTTGATGAATAAACCACATAGGTAGGATATGGTATAAACTGTGAATTAATGATTTAGATAATCTACAAGTTGATAAATGGTATAAAATACTGACAAATGTGAAATAATGTGTGCATTATCATATTTTATTGAGGAAACTTTTTTTTTTTTTGTCATGCATGGTTCCTTCAGTCATAGAGAGATAACCACAGGCATGGTTTATATAGCAGTAAAATTGAGGTGCAGATAGGTTGGATCAATATAGTTGTAAGGCAGGATTTAGAGTGGACTGACATAGGCCAATAGACCCACTGCAGTACTCCAAAACTCCAACTTACTTTAAATTCCACAGTAGTCTAGAAATAGGAGTTTTAAAGCACTGCAGTGGGCCTACTGGCCCATGCCAGCTATGTCCCACTATCCTTCTGCCTTACAGCTGTACTGATGTATTGATCCCACCTCTGCACCTCGTTTCTACTGCTATATATTCTTTGCATTTTATCTCCAGGATTGAAAAAGCCATTCATGGTGAAACATTAATATCACTTGTGTCTTGTCTTACAAGATACATGCAATCCCTGGGCATCTTTATTGGTGAAACATTTTTGCCTTCACAGTAGGCTTTATCAGTGTAATACAGAAGCATGAAGATGGAGATATAGTGGAGCCAGAGGAGAGGTACAGCAGTTGAAGTTATAGTTACACATGGGCAGGACCAACTAGTGGAGGTAGGTCATGCCCATAAGGTGAGCCAGAGGTTAGCAGTAGTAATGAAGAAGATATCCTCTGAATATCAAAATGGTATACAATACCTACAGGTTGGTAAGTAAGACATAGACAACAGTTAGGCTTCTTTATTCCGAAATGTTTTGCCTACACACTAGGCTTCTTCAGCCGAGTACAGAAAGTAGACAGGAGGAGTAGAGATATGAAGATGATGTAATCAGTCCACCCCCCTCGAAGACGTAGATTTGAGATTGTCACTCCATCAGCCTGGAGAAGCGTTCTGTTCCACAGGCTGAGGGACTGACAACCTCAAATCTACATCTCCAAGGGTTATGGACCTATTACATCATCTTCACATCTCCACTGCTCCTGCCTACTTTCTGTACTCAATTGAAGAAGCCTACTGTGTAGGCGAAACGTTTCGGAATAAAGATGCCTGTGTCTTACTTACCAAGATATCCTCTGTACCAAGATTCTATGAGTGTGACTGTGTCTGGCAGCACCCTGGAATCTTGGTACAGAGGATATCTTCAACTCTGTTGTTAACTTCTAGCCCATCTTACTAACATGACTAACTTCCCCTAGTAGGTCTTGCCTTCCATGTGATGATACACCTCTACTCTGGCTGTTCGTAAGTAAATCTCCATCCTCATGCCTTTGTATTAGATTGAAAAAGTGCAGACAAAACATCTTGCCAGTAAAAATATACTTGGGTGTTGCGTATGCCATTCATCAACCTGGTCCTTTTGGTTGCTATTCAACTGCTCTATTATTGAACTACTATATAGCGGACTCTTGTTAGTATTATTTATTTCCTTAAAATAGAGTAAGAAATTTCACTTTTCAGCAATTTTTTGTCAACAGGTGACTCAGATTCTGCGTCAGAATGAAGGAGTGGTCCAAGTGAGTGGTGGTGGAGATCAAGAATGGACATCACAAGATATAATGCCTGCTGCAACCTACTCAATAGATTCTGTAGATTCTAATCAACTTGCATCTAATTCTCCAATAGAAGACAAGCTAGCAGTTGCCCGATGTCTTCACACCACTGGTCAGTTCTAAGGTGTAGCATTTTTGTTGTGAGTTTACTCTCTCAGTTTCCAGGCACCTACTCTCTCTTTTACAATATTATTTTGTAAGGGCATATTTTGCTAAAGTTTACTGTATGTTTTTTTTTTCTCAACAAGTCAGCCATCTCCCACTGAGGCAGGGTGACCCAAAAAGAAAGAAAATCCCCAAAAAGAAAATACTTTCATTGTCGTTCAACGCTTTCACCTCACTCATACATAATCACTGTTTTTGCAGAGGTGCCCAGATACAACAGTTTAGAAGCATATATAAAGATATATAACATATCCCTCCAAACTGCCAGTATCCCAAACCCCTCCTTTAAAGTGCAGGCATTGTACTTTCCATTTCCAGTACTCGAGTCCGGCTATGTAATAATAACCAGTGTCCCTGAATCCCTTCACTAGATATTACCCTGCTCACTCTCCAACAACTCGTCAGGTCCCAAAAACCGTTAGTCTCCATTCACTTCTATCTAACACGCTCACGCATGCTTGCTGGAAGTCTAAGCTCCTTGCCCACAAAACCTCCTTTACCCCCTCCCTCCATCCTTTTCGAGGATGACCCCTACCCCGCCTTCCTTCCCATACAGATTTATATGCTCTCCATGTCATTCTACCTTGATCCATTCTTTCTAAATGACCAAACCATCTCAACTACCCCTCTTCAGCCCTCTGACTAATACTTTTATTAACTCCACACCATCTCATAATTTCCACACTCTGAATTTTCTGCATAATATTTACACCACACATTGCCCTTAGACAGAACAACTCCACTGCCTCCAACAACCTCCTCACTGCAGCATTTACACCCCAAGCTTCACACCCATAAAAGAGTGTTGGCACCACTATACTTTCATACATTTTATTATTTGCCTCCATAGATAACGCTTTTTGTCTCCACATATACCTCAACACACCGCTCACCTTTTTTCCTTCATCATTTCTGTAGTTAACCCCATCCTTCATAAACCCATCCGCTGACATGTCAACTCCCAGTTATCTAAAAACATTCACTTCTTCCATACTCCCTCTCTCCAATGTAATATCCAATTTTTCTTTATCTGAGTCATTGGATACTCTCATCACCTTACTCTTATCTATGTTCACTTTCAACTTTCTACCTTTACACACCCTCCCAAACTTGTGCACTAACTTTTACAACTTTTCTTTAGAATCTCCCATAAGCACAGTATCATTAGCAGAAAGTAACTGTGTCAACTCCCATTTTGTATTTGATTCCCCATAATTTAATCCCACCCCTCTCCCCAATACCCTAGCATTTACTTCTTTTACAACCCCATCTATAAATATATTAAACAACCATGGTGACATTGCACATCCCTGTCTAAGACCTACTTTTACCGGGAGGTAATCTCCCTCTCTTCTACACACCCTAACCTGAGCCTCGCTATCCTCATAAAAACTCTTTACAGCATTTAGTAACTTACTACCTATTCCATATACTTGCAACATCTGCCACATTTCTCCCCTATCCACTCTATCATATGCCTTTTCTTAATCCATAAATGCAGTAAAAACTTCCCTACCTTTATCTAAAAACTGTTCACATATATGCTTCAATGTAAACACCTGATCTACATATCCCCTACCCACTCTAAAGCCTCCTTGCTCATCCACAATCCTACTCTCTGTCTTACCTCTAATTCTTTCAATAATAACCCTACCATACACTTTTACAATCTCTTTTGTTCCCCTTCCCTTTATATAAAGGAACTATACATGCTCTCTGCCAATCCCTAGGTACCTTTCCCTCTTTCATACATTTATTAAACAAAAATACCAACCACTCCAACACTATATCTGCCCCTTCTTTTAACATTTCTGTTGTGATCCCATCAGTTCCAGCTGCTTTACCCCCTTTCATTCTACGTAATGCCTCATGCATCTCCCCCACACTCACATCCTGCTCTTTTTCACTCCTAAAAGATGTTATACCTCCCTGCCCAGTACATGAAATTACTGCCTCCCTTTCTTCATCAACATTTAAAAGTTCCTCAAAATATTCCCGCTATCTACCCAATACCTCCATCTCCCCACCTACTAACTCCCCTACTCTGTTTTTAACTGACAAATCCATTCATTCCCTAGGCTTTCTTAACTTGTTTATCTCACTCCAAATTTTTTTCTTATTTTCATCATAATTTCTTGACAGTACCTCTCCCACTCTATCATCTGCTCTCCTTTTGCACACACTCACCAATCTCTTCATCTTTCTTTTACTCTCCATATACTCTGCTCATCTTGTAACACTTCTGTTTTGCAAAAACCTCTCATAAGCTACCTTTTTCTCTTTTATCACACCCTTTACTTCATCATTCCACCAATCATTCCTCTTTCCTCCTGCACCCACCCTCCTATAGCCACAAACTTCTGCCCCACATTCTAATGCTGCATTTTTAAAACCATTCCAACCCTCTTCAACTCCCCCACTACTCATACTTGCACTAGCCCACCTTTCTGCCAATAGTTGCTTATATCTCACCCTAACATCCTCCTTCCTTAATTTATACACTTTCACCTCTCTCTTACTTGTTGCCATTTTCCTTTTGTCCCATCTACCTCTTACTCTAACTGTAGCTACAACTAAATAATGATCTGATATATCAGTTGCCCCTCTATAAACATATACATCCTAAAGCCTACCCATCAACCTTTTATCTACAAATACATAATCTAACAAACTACTTTCATTAAGTGCTATATCATACCTTGTAACAACCTGTCGGTATTTTATACCATTTTAATGTTCACTCTGTCAGACACTGCAACACAAGGGTATCTTGGTACAGACCTGAAATCAACTTGGACAACTTCTACTAGTGAGAATGGCTGAATTTGAGAGGGACCTGACCTCCCAACGACTACATTCTTACCTCTACTAGTGGCCTACATCTCGCCTCCTGGCGTTATATAAGGCTCCATCCTGTCACTTCAACTCCATATTGTTTCAGACTATGGAACAATACTCTTCTCCAGACTGAGGGACTGACCACCTCAAAACTTCAAGGGTGATGGACTGATTACATCGTCTTCAAGTATCTTCTTCTTCTATCAACTTTTCTGTACTCAACTGAAGAAGCCTACTGTGTAGGCGAAACATTTCGAAATAAAGATACCTAACTGTTGCATATGTGTCTTACCTAACAGCCTGTCGGTATTTTATACCATTTTAATGTTCACTCATCATACCTTGTATACTTATTTATCCTCTTTTTATAAAATATGTATTACTTATTGCTGTAGGTAGTAGGTTGGTAGGCAGCAACTGCCCAGCGAGGTACTACCGTCCTGCCAAGTGAGTGTAAAACGAAAGCCTGCAATTGTTTTACATGATGGTAGGATTGCTGGTGTCCTTTTTTCTGTTTCATAAACATGCAAGATTTCAGGTACATCTTGCTACTTCTACTTACACTTAGGTCACACTGCACATACATGTACAAGCATATATATACATACCCCTCTGGGTTTTCTTCTATTTTCTTTCTAGTTCTTGTTTATTTCCTCTTATCTCCATGGGGAAGTGGATCCGAATTCTTCCTCCATAAGCCATGTGTGTTGTAAGAGACGACTAAAATGACAGGAGCATGGAGCTAGTAACCCCTTCTCCTGTATATATTACTAAATGTAAAAGGAGAAGCTTTCGTTTTTCCTTTTGGGCCACCCCGCCTCGGTAGGATACGGCCAATGTGTTGAAAGAAAGATTACTTATTGCCAAACCTCTTTCTACACATAGCTTTATTAAAGACTCCCCATTTTCATTTACCCCTGGCACCCCAAATTTTCCTACTACTTCCTCTACAACAATTTTACCCAATTTAGCATTGAAATACCCAACCACAAGTACGTACTTTCACACATGGTTCAAAATTCCCCACGCACTCACTCAACATTTCCCAAAATCTCTCTCTCTCCTCTACACTTCTCTCTTTTCCAGGTGCATAAATGCTTAATATAACCCACTTTTTACATCCAACCCTTATTTTACTCCATATAATCCTTGAATTAATACATTTATATTCTCTCTTTTCCTGCCATAACTTATCCTTCAACATTATTGCTACTCCTGTAGCTCTAACTCTATTTGAAACCCCTTACCTAATCTCATTTATTTCTCCCCACTGAAACTCTCTGAAACACTCTGTATGTTTTTTTTGTTTTTTTTTTTTCAACAAGTCGGCCGTCTCCCACCGAGGCAGGGTGACCCAAAAAAGAAAGAAAATCCCCAAAAAGAAAATACTTTCATCATCATTCAACACTTTCACCACACTCACACATTATCACTGCTTTTGCAGAGGTGCCCAGAATACAACAGTTTAGAAGCATATACGTATAAAGATACACAACATATCCCTCCAAACTCTGTATGTATAAACATAAAAGGAGAATGATGGATAGAATGAACTTGCTTCCAGAGATCAAAGCTTTCATTAAGATATTCTCTAGGATACGTTTCTGAAAAGGAGGAGGAAGTGTGTTAATTTTGTCGAAGACGAACAAACCAGGCACTAGATTCAGAACTATTGTTTACATTATGTATATCTATTTTAGCTTAGTCTCTTTGGGGGTCTTAGTATTAACTAAAGAAAAAATAAATTATTTGAAAAGAAAAAAAAAATAGCACCAAGACATTAGAAATAAATAACTAGTGATGGGATACCTACTGATACCAGTACTTAGGCACACCACTACAAATAATATAATCAAACCTAATGACATATTGTACACACATGGAAATCTGCTAAATGAAGAGGGGACAACAAGTGTAATAAGGAGACCTGCCTATACATCACATGCTGTCATGAAAATCAAGCCAAGAATCCCTTCAGTTGTGCATCAAGTGTGCTACTGTTGAATTATGGGTATTGGAAAATTGGGTCTCAATATTGTTATATTAAAAAGGCTTTTTCAAGTCATTAGTAAGCAGTGTAGTCTTATGAAACATTGACATTCAGTTTTTTATTTAATATTTATTTACTTTTTCAGGTTACCTGTTTGGTGTGTTTGATGGCCATGGAGGTCCAGAATGTAGCCAGGTGGTGGCCAAGCGATTGTTTGATTATATTGCTGCTTCGCTGTTACCTCGTGCAGAGTTGCGTCGTGTTGTGTCTGAGTGGAAGGCTGGCTGTCGTGTCCCCCTCATCATGGTTTATAATGACCCATCAAAATTTGTCTCAGGACTACAGGAGATCTACGATGCATCCTTGTTGAGCTATTGTGAAAATTTACTGGCCTCTGTTTCTCAGGATTTTAGTATGGAAGAGGCACTAATGGGTGCATTTATTCAACTGGATAATGATTTAGGCCATGAGGTTGTGGAAAATCAAAATTCCTCCATGTTAGAGCCCCTGCTCCGTGTGGCCCTGTCAGGGTCTGTGGCATGTGTAGCACATGTTGATGGTCCTCACCTCCATGTTGCCAATGCAGGAGATTGTGGGGCTGTGCTAGGAATGCAAAGACAAAGTGCAGGAGGTGGCTGGCAAGCTCTTCGTCTTACAAATGACCACTCTTGGGAAAATCAATCTGAGGTAGACCGGGTACTGTCGGAACATCCACCAATAGAAGCAGAATATGTGGTAAGAAACCAGAGATTATTAGGAATGCTTATGCCCTTCAGAGCCTTTGGAGATTTTCGTTTTAAATGGGACCGGGATACGCAGATCAGAATAATACAGCGTTACGCAGGACCTGATAATATAATTCCTCATTGCTTGACACCGCCATATCTCACTGCTGTACCAGAGGTGACTTATCATCGCCTGCGTCCTCACGACAGGTTTTTATTGATGGCTTCAGACGGTCTTTGGGAATGTATGAGTGCTTTAAATTCTGTGAATTTGGTTGGAGAGTACATGAGTGGCCGTCAGACCCTCCAGCCAGTGCGATTCCCAAGGCAAATTATTACCTTAAGGGAGATTGCTCAGTTGTTAGAACAGCGACAGAAAGGTTTGTCTCTCAAGCCTGTTGATACCAATGCATCTACACATTTAATACGCCATGCCCTGGGAGGATCTGATGCAGGCTTGGACCATTCACGTCTCTCACATTCGCTCACTCTTCCACCGGAGGTCCGACGTTACTTCAGGGATGATATATCCATTCATGTAATATTCTTTGACTCTAACTTTTTAAGAGTATGCCCTGTAGAAATTTAGGCCATAAATTTGTATATTTATATTTTATTTTGTAGTGTATTACAGTACTAACTTTTCTTATAAATTGTGCAGTATTTTCACAATGCTTAAAGATCCTTTGCAATATGATTGAGAAGTAATAGTTAAGGAATTTAAGACACTACCAACTACAACCCATAATATGGGTAACATCGGTGCTATTTAATAATACTGAATATATATTTAAGTTTGTCAGGGGTACAGCTCACCTTATTTTGATAAGTCTATCAACAATGAAGTGAAGATTTTAAAATTTTAAGTATAACTTGAGTGAAGTACTGTGCATGGTATATCTTATGTTCTTATCTCAAGTTATGAATCACATTGTATTGGTTTGATGAATCACAAATCAAGTATGTACTGTTATTAAGAGTAACTTAATAGTCTTCACACTACATCATTATGGCATGTATTTGGGTTTAGACATAATTTGTTTGCAAAGTTTACTTAATGAAAGAACAAAAAGGCACAATACTGTAAGTGGAACAATACACAAATAACCCCCACAGAGGAGAAATGTCATGTTTCTTTCTCCTGTGTGTGGGTTATTTGTGTATTTTACTCAGCATGCTTGCTGGCAGATTGGATGGTGCTTGTTATTACAATATTGCTACTAAGCAAGTTAATGAAGTATTGAAAAGCTGCAGCTGCCACTTGCCAGTGAAATAATTTCCTATATAATTTGGTAGTTAGCTATCAGTTTAGATAATGTTTGCCTTTTGTTTGACGAGAAAGGGTTCTGTATGCCTTACTGGGTTTGATTAATTCCTCAGAATGCATTTTGCTCTATTAAAAAATAGAGATTATAGTGCTGAAAGTTATAGACAACTATTTCCTCTCCTTGCACAGCTCATTATTAGTAATGAATAGTCATTAAGACTCATTTCTCAGTAGGTAACTCCAAATGACATGAACCAAGCCAGCCCACTTTGAGAAAAGTTCTCACCTGTCACAGTTGAAAATATGACCAGGCAGAGTATATCACAAGTGAGGGAAATTGGAATCATACAAATTAAACTGGGTTTCTTAATTTTTAAAAGTGTAATTGGGCAGCACCTCTTATTGGGCTATGAATTTTAAGTAATGAATCTACATGCTAACCTTCATGACTACAATCACTGTAGGAAATTGGTCTACAGCAATAGATAAAGGCATCAGAGATGTCATGCTTGACAGGTACACTTTGATCATAGCCCTCTGCCTTTCCCAGATCTTTAATGAAAGGTTTTTATACCTTGTGAGCATATGAATTTCACATTTAACACATACATGAATAGACAAAAAAGTGTGTACAGCAGATGATTATTGATCTGTATTTAACAAATCTCATGATCAATGAGTACCTAGATGAAAAAAGGATTATCATTATTAAGCAAGGTCACTCTCCGATACTTTTATGTAAATTACCCTTTAAAATCAGAGTTCCTGGTACAACTTTGCAAGAATTGTCAGGTCATATTTAATCCTACATCTTTTGATTGAATTTCCCCTTCATTAGAGAGCACATTATTTTGATTTCAGACCCAATCTTCAGTGCTCAAAAATGCTTACTCTGCCCACCCTCCTCTTTGATAATTTTACTTCTAATGCAGATGTTTAGCATTTTTATTTTTTTTACATACTGTAATCATAAAATTAATAGTAACAATAATTAATAATATTGATTTTCTATGATTTCTGGAGTGACACCAATTTGTTATCCACTTACGGCACTGTCTTTGGGCACTACTATGTGGCAACCTTTTTTTTTTTTATGTGGAGTTGTAAAAACCTACATCTGGTAGGTAAGTGTATGCTTAACTGATTAATGAGTCATCATCTGACAAAGGTTGGCATTAGGAGACATTCTCCTGAAGAACAGTCTGTAACCACCAAAGATTTACTGCATCACTTGTTACTTCCACTTTCTTTTTTGCCTACACCCTTCCCTTAATGCCTGTTCTGTCTCTTTCACCTCTACAAACAGACATCTTTTTACATTTTCTCATTAAAGATACAGTACAGGTCGGCCATCACTAATCCAGCATCATTGCGACCTGTAGTGTGCTGGATTAGTGAGTTTGCCAGATTACAGAGTGGCCAGGTTTGAATACACTTAATTAACCCATCAACAGAGACTCTTTCTGCTACATCTTCCTCATTTTCATCACTGCTTTCTCTTCCACTGGTTGCTGCTGTGGATTTACAACTTTTTTTTTTTTTTTTTTTTTTTCAACAAGTCGGCCGTTTCCCACCGAGGCAGGGTGACCCAAAAAAAAGAAAGAAAATCCCCAAAAAGAAAATACTTTCATCATCATTCAACACTTTCACCACACTCGCACATTATCACTGTTTTTGCAGAGGTGCTCAGAATACAACTATCTGCACAATTTCTGAGTATAATGATGAAATTTGAGTTAGTGTAATGATTTGAGTCAGTATAATGATGAAATTTGAAATTATGCTAGCTGAAATTAGTGCCGGATTACCGATGGAGCCAGATTAGTGATGGCCTACCTGTATTCTTCTTTCAATTGTATCAAATTATTACTGTATACTGTACAGGTATATGAAAGTCTTCCAGTTGGGTTGTTTACCTCTGAACCCACTAGTACAGGTCTCCCCAAGTCAAGGTAATGATCATGATAATAGTTTATATTCATATTTTTTGGAGCAGTAGTTGTTAATGACAATTTGCATGTACAGTAAACCCTTGATGTAATAGATTGATATGGAAAGTGTGTGGCTGGTAATGGTGATTGTGGTGGATAGAGACTATATCATTTTGTTGTGGTTGTAACAATGAACAATTCTGTAACCAATAGACATTGTCTGTTGGTCATATATTTTTGTTAGCAAAAAAAAAAAAAAACAAGTAATGTAGAATTTTTATTTTAATATGTTTTGAACTTGAAAATGTATAGTAATTTTTTATGTTTCTTTGAAAAATGTTTTTGTGTAATTCAGAGGCAAATTGTATTGTAGGGGTCTATCACAGCACTATTCCTGTACTATTTTTGTCTATTAGTTTATTTTGCAGGGGAACAAGCCCTAGCTCTTGGCCCCGACTAAAATTAACTTCATCGTACAGTATTGACCTTTGAACCTCTGGTGTCTGGGTCATTACAATTCCTCACTTTCCATTGAGAAAGTGTTTTTGGATGTTCCTGTGACTGTGTTGGTGTGTAGCTCCCAGCTATTCTCTTCTAGTTCCTCCTCAGGTAAAGAGATATTTGTGTCTGTTTTTTCTATGCTCTTTTGTTTATGAAAGCCTGGTTGGTGCAGTTATTGTCTTGTTGGGTTTTCATAGTAGCTCCTGCATGTATGCATCCTTGGAAAAAAAATTGCAGTTCACTATTAGTGAGACTGCCCAGTATGCAAAAATTAACACAAATTTCCCTTTTGTATGCAACAGCTTTCATATTGCATATTTGAATAAACGAGTACAACATAAAGGCAATTTACCAGATTGTGCATTTTAGAGAATTAAATGCTAGCAATTTGTAAATTGTTGCTGGGTATTTATATTTAGTACTGTATTCTGTTTATCATCACTTTACACTAATAGCTTCATGGACTAGCAGTGTTGGTTTCTGACCTTTTGAACCCTATTATTTCTAATCTTTAAACTGTATACCAATTTTTCCTCCACTTCTACATCCAGTTTATTTCACGTTCATACTACCCTGAGATTGAAAAGCATTTTCTTACCTGCAACTCGTCTGTGTTTTTTCATGTATGTCCCCTTACTCTATATCCTCACATTGCAGTTTATCCTATTTGAGTTTACAGGGATTCATCTCTAGCTCCTGGAGATGACATTCATTTGATTCCTCAGGAATTTTTTTTTTTTTTTTTTTTTTTTTAAAACATGCTGACTGTCTCTCACCAAGGCAGGGTGACCTAAAAAAGAAATAAATACTTTCACCATCATTCACACATCACTGTCTTTACAGAGGCGTGCAGTTACGACAGTTCAGTAAAATAAAATAATGAAATTCGCCCTATTGCAGGGGGACAAATTTCATGCCCGTTTTATTTACAGTTCAAAATAAGTTTGTATTTTATATGACCTTGTGAGTTTAGTGCTTTATTTTGATCATAATAATAATGTAGTTTATGAGAGATTTTGAGTGCGTGTGTATGCAAAAATAATTTATTGGGGAAGATGGATGATTAGTCATAGCCTTAAGTGGTCACTGTTCTTCCAGTTATATATAGTGGTATATATAAGGGGAATATTGAACCAAAATTTGGTTTGTATCCTTCCTAGGAAGATTTTAGTAATTTTCGTTTGAAACCTTTTATTTCTTCTGACTTTTGTTTTCAGGTCTCCCCCCTCCTTTTGAGAGGAGGGAATATATTGATGCTGGTGAAGAGTTCTTGATCCAAGGAAGTGGCACTAGCTTCCTGTTCCTTGGGTCAGTCCTAATTACCTTCCATACCTCAGGCACTATATAACTCTTAGGGTTTTAGGGTTCCCTCATGAATGTAATAATAATGTACAGTATATTGTAACCATTGCTTATTTGTTTTATTTCTTTTTAGACATTGGTACATTCTTTCTTTCAACACACCAGCCGTATCCAACCGAGGCGGGGTGGCCCAAAAGGAAAAACAAAAGTTTCTCCTTTTAAATTTAGTAATATATACAGGAGAAGAGGTTACTAGCCCCTTGCTCCCGACATTGGTACATATATACTGTATTAGTGGCTTCTCTCTTCAACACATTATAAGCTTCCTTATCAAATTGACTTAGTCCAGGAGACTTCATAGTTTAACCATACATCAAGCTGTATTAGGAAAGTTGGAATGGATTAAGATTTCTTAAGTCTTTAGATGATATTTATGATGTATTCTTTGTAGTAGGTGAGTGTCAAGGCAGTGCTTCTCATCCTGTGTGCATGAGTGTGTCGATACTTGTGTTTGATAGTATTGCATCACCTAGAGCTCTGCCTCTTCACTCCAAGGGCTTGCTCATGCTGTATTTGTTCAATTCTCACATAGAATTAATCTCTGGCAGTCATTATGGTTTATAGTGGCAGCTCGGATTTTCAATCTTTACCAGACAGCATTCTGCATTGTGGTATGGTAGGCTTCTTGTAACAGTGAATAAAAGAGATTTCTAACTTGAAATATTTTATGCAAACTTTTATATGGTAATGTGATCAAATTTGATATTGTGAAACTATTGAAAAATTAAAATGTCAGTTGTAGGCAGCTTTATATAGACTTTTTGTACTTATAAAATTTTCTTACTTAGAAATTCTGTAATGCAAGAGAAAGAACTTGGCTATTTTCATGTCAACTTTGCAGTTATGTTTGCCAGCTTTTGTTGTACATATTTTTTTATGTGCAGAATGATGAAATTTCATTATATTTTGTACATAAGAGGTCAGAATGTGTTGGATTGTGTCACTATGTCGTGGTTATGATATTATAGTATTTAGCAACACCTGAGGATTCACTTCTCCAGGGAAAGCAGTGTAATATAGTTGTGTAAATTTTTATGCCAGTTTCTTGATTTCCACCAAAACTAAAATAGCAACTTAATCTAACCTTGCTAAAATTTGCATAATGTACAGTAAATTACCATAACTTACCTCAGTTACCAAAGAATATGCATGACTATATTTCATTTTTCATGGAGAAAATTTTAGTGATCCCATATTTAAAAACCTCTTTATTTTCTTCTCTCTCTGTCTTGTTACTGTCAGTGTTTAACACATGTGGTAAGATTACTAGAAACATTGCTGTGTAAAACACTGATTAGTACATAACTCCTTGGCACCCAGTGTACTTTTATATTTATATTTTGAAACCATTAAAACTAAATAA